ATTACAGGCTTGAGCCACCGCGCCCGGCCTCTCCCCTAGTTTTCTAAGGTTTTTGATTGCCTGGCAGAATTTTATGTGTTTTATTCCTTGTTCTGTTAATGTTCTAATTTATATTAATAACTCATAAAAATCATCCTTTTATTCTTAGAATAAATCTAATTCAAAATTGATATTTTATATATTTTATTTATTTTGAGTTAACTTTGCCTTTACTTTGGGAGAAGTTCATCTATATTCATGATTGAGATTGGCTTGTAATTTTTTTGTATTTTCCTTGTACTTTGTTTTCAAACTTATCTCTTTAGATAGATTGAAGAGTCATTGTCATCTTTTGTTTTCTTTTTTCTGGAAGAGTTTGCAAGAATTATCCATTCCTGGAAGCATGGTGGATCACCTCCAAATCCTATACCTCTTGGTCTAGTATTGTTTTTGTGGGAAGATTCTCATTTCCTTATATAATTTTTTAAACTTTTCACTTTGAAATAATTATATATTTGCAAGAGGCTGCAAAGGAATGCACAGGGAAATCTATGTGTTTCTCCTGGCTGCCTCCAAGAATTTGACATGGGTACAACCCATAGAGGTTATTTAAATTCCATTGGTTATACATGTACCCATTGATGTGTTTGTGTGAATGTAGCTCTATGAAGTTTTATCACGTGTAGCTTTGTGAAACCAGCACTGTATTATAATACTGAACTGTACCATCAGCACAAGACTCTTTCATGTTACTCATTTATAGCCACCCTCATCCCTTCCCCATTTCTAGCTCCTGGCATTTGCTAATGTGTTTTCTATCTCTGTTGTTATCTCATCAATATTACATAAATTATGCAGTATTTATCCCTTTAAGATTGGCTTTTTTTTCCTCTTAGCATAGTTTTCTTGAGGTTCGTCTTGTGAGTATCAATAGTTTATTGCTTTTTATTACTGAGTAGTATCTCATGGATATGCCACAGTTAATGATTCACCCACTGAAGAATATCTGGGTAGTTTCAAGTTTTTGGCTGTTTTGAAGCATGCTTCTATGAACATTTGTGTACAACTTTATGCATAAAAATAAATCTTGAATTTCCTGAAATAAGTGCTGTGGGAAGATTTTAGACTACTGATTTCAGTTCTTTAATGGTTATAGAACTACTCTGAATGTCTATCTCTTCTTGAGTTTGCTTTGGTAAACTATATTTTTTCCTAGGAATATGTCAATTATTTTTAAGTTTTCAAATTTATTAGCATAAAGTTCATAGTATTCATTTATTACCTTTTTAATCACTGTTGTTTCTGTAGTTCTTTATACCTGTTTTTTTTTTTTTTTTTAAATTCCTGGTATGATTTTTTTTTTTCTTGGTAAATCTCATCAGAGGATGGCCTTAAAGAACTAAGTCTTGGTTTTGTTAATCCTCTAGATTGTTTCTCTGTGTAACCAATACATCAAATATGCCAACTTACAGGAAATACATTTTAAAACATTCTGATTTTTATCTTCTCCTGTTCCTTTGAAGTTTGTCCTTTAAAGTCTTCCCCTGCTTCTGGATAGAAATTCAGCTAGGCCCCATGACTCAAGGTTCTCAGTAATGGCACTACTGACATTTTGGGTCAGATAATTCTTTGATGTAGGGTCTGATCTGTGCACTGGAGAATGTTAAGTGGCGTCCCTATCTTCTGTCTACTAGATGCCAGTAGTACTCCCAGTTGTGACAAGTCGTCAGATGTCCCCTGGGGGACAGAATGGCTCCCAGCTAAGGACCACTGCCATGACTTATGTCCAATCTTAGAAAACATAAGGTCCTAAAATAACTTTTTTCCTGACCTTTTAAGTTACATGCTTAATTCATTTTTTAGCCTTTCTCATTTTCTAAAATATTCCTTCTTGTTTGTTTTGGTTGTCAAGAGATCCAGTACCATTTATTGCCTAATTGCATTAATTAACAAATTCCAGATACTTTTTTCCCCCTGCTCTTTAAAGTTAGATTTTCATTTTAATTCTCCTCTTTTACCTTATGCTTAATCTTGTGAATGATCTCTGGTCTTCCCAACATAGACCAATGATTATATTCATGGAACATCTGCTTTGGGGTAAGAAACTGTGGCATATACTGATAGAGGATTCATGTCAGACCAGGAGAAAGGGTGTGTCTGAGAGAGAAGAAAAGGAAGAATGGGAGGGAGCTATGAAGCAAAGAGGAGGGAGTGATGGTGCTGGAAGTCAGTTGGTCTCCTAGTTTTAAGTTTCTATATGCATTAGACCTGCAGAGGGGAGCGGCTGGTATTAATCTGACATCAAAAGAAATTTAGGGGTTAGCCTGGCTGGAGCAGACAGCTGCTCCTTCATGTTACTTGGTCGAGATGAAAAGTAATGCCAAAACAGGTAAGATGTTCCCATCGCTGGTATTTCCTGGAAGACTAATGAAGTGTGCAATCCTGGAGGAGAAAATAAATGCCGGCTTCTTACATTTTTGGCTGGCTGTGACAAGGTCTTCAGTATTCTTCACAGGCTGTAAGACTGTGAACCTGGATGGGTCACCAGTGAGCAAATCCTTCACCTGCCCCACTAACTTCCTTTCATCAGCCTCATGCATCCTAAGTACCTTCCTCAGAGACCTGCTGTGCTGCATCGCTGTGTCAGAATCATTCCTTGACATGTGGCAGGAGGACAAGAAGTGAATGGCAGGCAGAGGGAAGGACTCCAGGGGCTACTTAGGAAATCAGCTTGGGATGAAATATCAACAGGCTTGTTTATTGGCTTTTACTCAGGTTTAGAAGGAAACATTTTGTGAGTTTTTTGTTTTCAGGAGAGGGAAAGGCCCTTCTGAATGTGGAGTAAGAAGACTAAGCCCTGCCGAAAGCTAGGAGACAGAGGCCTTAAGAGAGGAGTTTCTAAGGCTGTCAATATCTCAGCTTCCTATGACATTTGTTTTTCTATTAATTTTTGGCATTTATATTGCTGTGATAGATCAATTAGCCCCTCACAATGTCTAGTCCATTGACCTTATCATTTAACTATCCTATGGTACCACTGGTTACCACAGGGAGACTGCAAAAGAAACATTTATAATTTTGAATGACTTAAGTCCAGAGCTGGGGAAACATTAAAAACCTTAGTTTGGATAATCAGCAGCACATTAGGTGAGGGAAACTTTAGGGAAGTTTCCTTTTTCTCATCACTCCTGAATTTCAACAGCCACGTTGTGTAAGGAAAGCAACAGAACCCACCCCATATAGTGTTGGTGTTTGGATATCTGAAATGACTCAAGAAGCCTTGGGAGATCACAGAATCTCAAAGCTCGAAGGTGTCTTAGAGATCGTCATATTGGTCAAGATCCTTGGCTGCAGGAAACAGAAATGAACTATGGATGACTTAGGTTTAAAAAAAAAAAAAAGGAATTTGCTACAAGGCTGTCATGGGCTCCAAAGTCAATGGGGAGGCTAGAGAATGAGGTTTGGGAATGGAAAAAACTAAGGGTGTCCTGGAGAGCTGGGTAGCAGGAATTACAGTGACACTTTCCTAGGGAGAATGGACTCTGCTTTAGTGAATACTCTCAGGCTGTTCTTTCTGTCCTTCAAGTGTCAGCCTTGGGAGAAAGGATCCAATCGGATAAGTTTACAAAGTAGTGAGAGTCCAACCAGGAATGAGATCCTGAGTTTCCCACCTCCCAGCTTGGTACTCGTTTTAACACTAGACAGCTTTGGAACCCAGTACCATCAGCCCTGGGCATAATCACAAGTTTGACCTCAGTGTGTGGGCCAGTTCACACCGACCACCACATTTGGGGAGTTTGAAAAAGCATTTCATTTAGACTCAGTTTTTAATTGAAGGGGCAACCATTGATGCTGTTAATAGAAGCTAGTTCTTACATTTATGTATGTGTGTGTGTGTGTGTGTGTGTGTGTGTGTGTGTGTTGTTTTTTTTAAACAAGCAGTATCACCATTTGCCTGAAGAAATCGGCTAGAAGGGGGAGTGTGAAACGAAGTGTAGGACTTCAAACACCAAAACAACTCCAGGATTTCAGAGATGCTATTCATTCATCTTGGGGAATGGGATTTCAGTCTGATAGCCAACCTTCTTTGATGATGAATGCACCTGGTCCTAATTAATTGCAGTCAGTGAAAGCACATGTTGTCTAGGAGACTGTGCCAGATATCAAACCTGCTGGAGCAGAGGATGCAACTCCAGACAGACAATTAAGAGCTATGGTGAAAATGAATTCACCAAGGGCCCAGAAGCACACAGCTCTGGGTAGGGTGCTGTGGAAGCAGGAGGGTCAAGAGGATTGTATGGATTCACTTTGTCTATCCTAAGCAGCTTGTGGCCTACCCCTCAAACAGTAAACACATGTGTTTTTGAGAAGCAGAGGAGGTTGACTCTTCTAATCCAAGCTCAGGGATGAGGAGGGGGCTTGCTTTAATGCAAGGGAAGTGTATGTTGCCCAAAATCCATGTAAACAACAGCCGGCAGTTTCAGGAAGGTTACTGATTTGCTGACTGAAGGGTACCTAGAAGTTGGGCGACGGCTCTGTGACCAGCTCAGTCCTGTATGGGACGGGCAAGGATACACATCTGAACTGCTCTAGGGTAGCAGGTTTCAGCCTCTGTTTCCAAACAGCTCTCAGCCATCTTTCTCCCTCAACTCCTTGTGTTATGTCAAATCTTGTTATGAAAAGGAAAAAAAAAAACAAAAAACATCCCAAAAGTAAAACACACAAATCCAGGCAAACAGCCAATCCACCCAGAGAACCGGGACTTGAGCTACATTACAGTTTTGATTTCTAAACAGGAAGCAGTGATTGGACTGTAAACAACACACACCCATTATCATCAGAACTCATAAGCTTAATTACAGAGAAACCGAAAGCTAATAATTTTTATGCACTGTTACATCCCTAGGAGGCCAGTTACCATGGAAATCTTGCCTGCCTTTTCTTCCACTTGGAGCATATTTATATGGACAAGGAAGAGAAATATAAACATGATGGAAAGATTAAGTAAGACAAGGCAGTTCGCTACAAATATTTTACATTTATTATAAGAATACAATGAAGAGGTTCTGCAGACACATGAGTGGTAATTGGTCTATTGGAAAAGAAAAGGCAATTCAAAAATGATCTAAGTTTACAAAAAGATGAAATCATGCTTTAAAAATGTAGAAACAATTTAAAAATATCCTACAATGTTAGCCAAAGTTCAAAGTGTATTCTTTTGAATGTAAAAACTAACAAATAAATAAGTGTTAAATACAGATCTGAGTTAAAATGATAAAAGATAGACAACCAACTGCTTTATATATTTAGCTTTCATCCATTTTTCAGACTTGTTTATAAAGCCAGATAAACCCGCCAAAGCCTTGTTTGTGTTTTCCACTGAACTTTCCAGAAGAAGCACCCTATTTCCAGTGTTTATCCACTTCACAAATATATTACCTTAAAACAACAAAAATGATTAAAGGTGCTTTAGCCTGACATTAAATGGACCATAAATTGGCAAACCACAGCAGTGCTTTGCTCAAAATGCTGCTTGCAGGTGGAATGTCTTTACCAGAAGTGCCTTAGGGCCTCACTCCTACTCCATTATCTCAAACTCATCTATCAAAGGGAAAAGGGAGGAACTTAGAAAAATCATATTTCCACAACCAGTCACTATGAGAGCCCTAGACTAGCGGGTCACCCACAGTCAAATGGCATGGGCACCATTTGTACATTTTGTCCTGGCTTTGTTTGCTTGGGTTCCGGAAGAAGTCAGGGCTGTTGCTGGCACGTTGACAACCTGATTTTATTCTTCCACGTTTTTCCTCTGGGCTTTCCCATATGGTTCTATGTCTACGACTTTATATAGTGTTCCAATCTTTTAGGGCCCTTGCCAGAAGCAGCTAGACAAAACCAAGAAAAAAACAAAGAAAACCATAACATAAAGCCAGCAGAATCTGCACCACCACCAACCCCCATTCGGATGCTCAATTAGGCCATCTAACTTAATACATTTAAATGTAAATTTATGTAAAATCTATAGGCATCTGACTGAAGAAACTGTTTCAGTGGGAAACCTCAGTGCTCTGTAAAGAATGATGAACAGAAATGGCCCATAAATATGCTCCTGGCCACTGGTCCACACTGATCACATCACAGGACGGAACTGGGTAGCTGACACTTTGTACAGTCAAGTGAAATGCTCAGCAGGTGTAAGAGTTTCATGTCTTTGGCCACTTTGGTCATGGATTTGAAATAACTGAGACCCCTCTCGACCAGTTCCCCTTTATCTTTGATTTTGATTTGATGCTTAGAATCTATATTGGGGATTGAATTTAGAGTCATAGGATTATAAAATTTACTTGTTATGGGAAATCAGACGAACCTTGTAGAACCAATCTCTTTGACACTAAAGCCAAAAATAGTGAATTCCATTGGAACATGTACATATTCTGTATACTGTACACTGCAGGTACGAGAGGTCTAGAATCTAAGGTGGAATTATGACAAGTTCTCTTCTGTTGGACTGGTCTTCTGATTGTTACTGGAGCAAAGCAGTTCACACTGGCATGGCATGAGATAGACCTCTGTAGCGTCTTATAGTCTAAATACAAGCAACGTACTTTAGGTAAGGAGAAAATATTCAAAGTCCCATCAAGCATGGCTCTGGGCACCTTTCCCTCTGCATTTGCTTGCAACAGTCTGGCATTTAAGAGCAGGCAGGCAAGTTTATTTCTAGCAAGTCAAATTATTTGTAAAAGGGAAATTCCTACATAAAAGGGTGTGTTTCTTTCTTTCTTTTGGGTTTAAAAATAAAAGCACGGACCGGTGAACTGGGAAAGACTGCCAGGCCGGTTCTTTTACCTAGGATATCAGTAATACCAGATTCCAGATTCCCTCTCGGCCTCTAAGGCTTTGAATCCAGGTTAGAGATCTGAACCCCCCCTCCCCAAATGGGGGGCATTTAGTTGTTTCATGAATATTATCCGGGCAACTCAAAGAAGACCCAAAGGTTATACTATTTGACAAGAGCTATATGAAAAATGACTTTGGACTCTCAGTTTTCTCTCTTGCTCAGTTTTTTGCTGCTCCAATGTATGAATTGAGATTTACTTTTAAAGGCCCTCTTAGATTTATCCTGTGTTGCTCACAACGCTGACATTTCCCATTGATCTCTGTCCTACGCTTTCAAAAGAAGGTCTGATCTTCTGGGATCAGATGAATTGCTTAAGTGATTACAGTTTTTGCAAGGGTGTTCTAACTGATGTGACAATGGGGTAAAGTGATATTTCTATTGTCTACTTTGGTTACAGTTTGAATCTGGCTTCTTACTATGTCATTTTAGAATCTGGTTTGGATACTATTTAGAATGTGCTTATTCTGATTCTTAGCAAATAGGAAAATAGGTGTGGTGTTTGGCTTTTCAGGAAGAATACTGCTTTGGGGAACTGCAGGGTACAGATTATTTTCATGCAATGGTGCTCTGGGGTCTGTGTATCTAGGTAGAATGGCTTATTTTGAACTTAAGGCTTCATATTTGTTGCCCTCTTTTCTGAAGCCTTGGAAAAAACCCTTTAACATTACACAATTGAAATACTTTCAGACATTTGCTGACAAGAGGAGTGTGAAGAAAACAACAAAAGGTATTGGCAATAGAACAGTGGGATGGAAGAACTGAGTATCTCCAGGAGTTTCAGATAAAGCAATTATTGGTAGTGTTTACACATTTCTTTAGTGGGTAGAGGAGGCCACCTGATCAGCTTACTTGGTCAATAGGCTGCCTCCAGGATACCTCCACTCACAGAAATCTTGCTGCGTTAGGAAATCTCTCAGGAGCTTCTACCGATAGTGTTACTCATCTAACAAGTGCCACCTGATCATCCTGTCTCCACATCTAGGACTCCAACCAGTCTTTGAATTCTAACCTGCACCTATCATGGGGCTTCTCATATACTGAGTGTGTAGCTGGCCTTGTTAAGTAGGTGCCTGGGAGTTCCTTAGAAGGGTAGAGGCCCCGAAGCACCTGAGGAGAAACTCTTTGGTTGAGGCCAATTACAGCATTATTCAATATAAGCTGATGATAAAGGCTTTACTATTTTGGTAAAGCAAAATCTTGGAAAGTGAAAGATGAGAAAAGGAAACAGTAATCAGAAGTCAAATACGGGAAAACCTAGCACCTGGTAGTATTCTCTGCACCTCATATGGTAGATGTTCAAGAAAAACTTTCTGAATGAATACAGCTGAGGGAAAACATAACATTCCACTTCCAGCATCAACACTATCACTTAGAACAGTTTATTACTTTGCAGAACACTTGCATCTTGCTGGCCTCAATAATAATTGCCTCAGTAATATTTGAGAAGATAGTTAGAAATTCAGGATTTGTATCTCTTAGAGTGAATTCCAAATGTTCAGTTGTTTTCAGGTTCTTACAAATTTGCTGACAAGAGGGAAGCTAAATCTGTCTTCATGTCACAAACCTGAAAGACATTTTTTTCTTTACTAAAATAAAAAACAGGAGGTTCACAGCAATTTTCCTGAATGCTGGCTATCCTAGACATACGTGTGCCATTACTTGGCTTGCTACTGCTTAGGGAGAGGGCTGAACCACCGTTATGTCTGAGGCCTCACAGAAAAACAGAGCAAGGGTAATTCTGGTTAAACAATGGTTACCTCCCGAGATTATAGGGAGCATAGGAAAAATTAAACCAATGTCCAATTCGATGCCCTTGAAACAAGTGTTGTAGAGACTTAAGAGGCATGCACTGTTTAAGGACACACAGCAGGAAGCTCCTCAAACCCTTTGTGAGGGTTAGTTTCCCTTATTGTTATTGCCTTTATTGTTGGCTTTGGGTCATTTTACATTGGTGCTTTGTTACTGCCCTTCATTTCCTTTCAACCTTCCTTTCTGGATGTCTCATTCTTTTTGTGTCTTACCTTAGGCACCATGACTAGCTTTAGGGTTTCTAGATTCCTTTCCCTCAAATGTTATTGAAGACAAGGAGCATTGCTACTTGTATTCTTCCATTTCTCTGTTGAATACTATGTTTCCCCACAGTAGCTCTCATCATAGTAAGCTCCCTCTGTGGATAACTCTAGGAGCCATTTAGTCAATGTTAGTCCAAAGGTGAAATAGGGCTGATCTAAGTGTAATCTCATTTCGGAGACTTTAGCTTCACTGTAACCAAAGATTTCTAATAATGTGTGGATAATCAGTGATCTTAGCTTAAGAAATATTAAATATAACCAATGCAAATGTAAAGAGGCTTTGGGTAGTGTCTTTGAAAAACTGGAATACATATGACCAAATGCATTAGTTGGGAAAATAATGAGTATAAGCATTGCACAGCACACAATCATCTCTGAGCTGGGAATATAACACAGCTTCTAACACAATGAGAGGTATTTGGTTTACTCTTGCTAAGGCCCACACACTGGAGATGACTGCTTTTGCTTTAGTTCTGCTGATCTTTTTTATCTTCCACAGGACAGGATCTGGCCTTGTAGCATGTTCTCCTTAGGCTTCCTAATGCCATTGTCCAAATCTTTGTTTCACTTTAATTTTTCCACACTCTGTGTGGGGGTGCATCATCCTGCCTTGGAATAACTGGTTCCTCCCTCTTTTGCATTTGAATCTGCTGCCTCAGCACCTTATTAAATATACTGAAGCCTATGCTCATTACTTCTATGCAGTTTAAAGTGACTAAGAATCTAGCACATCAGGATTTTTCTGCCACCCAAGAATCTTAGTCCTTATTAGGTGGCTAAGTGATTCCTAATGCCTACACTAAAAGGTCAGAATTTAATCTCTGAATTGGTATGAGGCAGGAGGATGGTTTTTAATGGGGTACTATTTCATTAAATTGAATTATGACTAAGGTATAGTTTATACACCTTCTAGAGGACAGCATTTTTTTAAAAGGGGAATTTTGGGGACTCTAAGAGTGTAGCAAAATCTCCTTCAAGTAGGTCATTCTTGGTACATGAAATCCTGACTTTTAAAATCAGAGTATCTTCATATGTGGTTTTAGATTCTTCCAAAATATACAGTATTCAGACTTGATGTGAAACTAATCAAAACATAGGAAAATAAATGAAATTAAAACATTTAATGAACATTCTGATATGTATAAGCAAATCAGAGTCATAAAAGAAGTAACACTATTTTGATGGTAAACTTTCACACTAACTTAACAGTATAATGGAAATGTAATATAAACTCATTTTCATAGAAAATCTGATTCCATTTAATTAAGATATTAATACCTAAAGAAAACATGTCTTTTCCAATTGTCTGTCTCTCTGCTGCTTATTTTGCACTGTTCTGTTTTGTAGGAGGGTCTGGCTTCCGAAATGCAAAAGCAAGTCTTGCCAGGACTCATAGCACTAACCACAGGCAGCCAATTTTGTTGATAAGAAACATCTAAAATATCAATGATAAAGGGAGTATATGTAAAAAGAAGAGGGCTGAGGCAAACAACCCTTTTTCAGAAAATATCAATCTTGAAAAGATGCATGGCCATTAAACAGTGTACACAGAGTATACTAAGTAAGGTTTTCAGGTACATTCTTCCATCTGATGACTCACAAGGATTAATTATAAAGTGGTGTGACTGAAATAACCCTGAACAACTGTGACTTATGATTCAGATATTTGTACTGTTACCTTATAATTTATTTGGATTGTTGCATTTTAATTTTTGTTTATCCCACTACAAGGTCCTCAGTGGGTAGCATATGTTGTAACTAAAATACTTTCTTCTTGACATAATCTAACACTAGTATTGTGAAGCCATAGTTATTTTGTGGTACTAGCCAATCTTCAGAAAAGTTATATGGGAAAACTGAATTGAATATAATATAGATACAAAAACCAAATTATGGTTTAAAGGAAATTAAAACTATTTCAATGACAAAATATTTTGTTTTCTTCTCAAAATAATCCTAAAATGAAAAACAATTGTGAAATGTGCACTGAAAATACCCAAAACAATTAGGCTCCTGGTCTACACTTATCTGCTAATAAGATGTTTCAGTAATATTGTATTTGTAACAAAACAGTGAGTTGTGGAAGGAGAATTTTATTGCCCACATTACATTTGGGAGATAAAAGAGAAACAATCACATGAGATCTTTCACTGGTGGTCTCGTGGCAGGATGGGTGGAATAAAGCTTCAGTTTCTGAAAGTTTAAATAAAACCTGTCCATTTTATTTTCCCGGAAGAGAAAGAATATGTTGGCTTTGGCCTTAGATTACATGGGATACAAAATTAATTTTAGGTTTCACATGTTGGTAATAAATGTTAATTTAACAGTGAAAAATGTCTTTCCTTGTAAAATGATGGACAACCTAAACCTTCTCATAAAGGCCCGTTAGTGATTCAAGGTGGAAAGACACCAGCGAGAGACAGACTGCTTGTTTACCTCCCCTTATTTTAATAAGTTTAAGGACTTAGGAGGGGAACTATGCAGTAGTGAGATATAACTCTTGAACAATCCATTAACACAAAGATTTGTGACTGGACTAATTACATCCAGACCAGAAGAAATTTTGGTTACAACTCTTTTCTTACTGAACAAATCACAGGATTTTGTACATTTCTGAAGCTTCCTTTCCCTACATCAACTTGCACATTCTGAACAGTATGTGTGTGCTTCTTCGGCATGGATTAGCCTCCTAAAGCACATAATTCCAATAATTACCAGTGACAGAAGGGATGAATAAATTATGCTTCAAGTACAACAAAATTAACAGTGAAAAATTGTTTGCATTAGTTTTTCTTACTGCATGTGCCTATATTAAATTTAATATTCTATATGACTGAGAGACTCCCAATAAGTTATTAATCTTGAACTATACCACTGCCGGATTTAAGACAAAGAATAAAATGGAATTTAAATGCTACACATGTCACGATGTTTTGAAAAGCTTTTTAAATTTAAGCACAGAGTAATGATGTGAACTGCAAATTGTAACAGACTGGATGAGTGAAATATCAATGCTGTGTTCCTTCTTTACACCAGAATGCCAGGATTAAGCTTTTGATCTTGTTTATAAAACTAAAGCCAAAAACATCATTTTCTCTTCTTGCTAGGAGCTTAGCATGAAGCCACTATGTGATGGGAGGCTGTTTTCTTTAAACAGACAAAGAATATTATAGAGATTCACTTAGAAATACTAAAAAAAAAAAAAAAAAAGCCACTATGTGATGGGAGGCTGTTTTCTTTAAACAGACAAAGAATATTATAGAGATTCACTTAGAAATACTAAAAAAAAAAAAAAAAAAGGGTAAGAATATCCCATTTTACTCTTACTTTTGAAGGCTGGTAAGCACTTCTGAGTCTGTGCTTTGATTTACCATAGTATGTGCCATCAAAAGAAAGTTCCCTTTAGTCTGAATGTACTAATCATTAAGTATGTATGAAATTTGCAAGGAGACTGAAATGACAGATACAAGTCACTTTGCTCTTCAGTATTATCTTTCATAATCTAAATTTAAAGTAATGTGAGTTCTGTGCGATGGTACAGGCAGCAAACAGCTGGAGAGGGCAGGAGGAATTTTCTATCCCTAAGCTCTTCCAATGAATGCAGACCAAATAATCACTAAGGTGATGTTTACCAGGACACAGGCCTGAGAACTTATAAAAGGCTTCCAGAACATATTTAGCCCTGAGCATTACCATCTTCTATATATGTATTATCCTGAGAGGCGACTATATACAGATCGTGCAGTTAGTTCCCTAGATAAGAGTTAAGATACAGAATCCTACTTTTAACTGAGTTAGATTTTATCCACATGAGACATCTTCAGCACTACGCTCACATACCTGCCAGCTAATGGTAAGAATGTCCAGGGGGCAGTATAAGGGTCAATGAAGGTGGAAGTAGAAATGGGAGGGCTATCCCTATGTTATCTTTCTCATTAATATTCACCTGACTTCTAGACTGTCCATTCACATCTGTCTTGCACCTTGGTAGTGTGTGTGTGCACATGCACACACGTGAATGTATTGGTGAACTAGAAGCATGAAATTCTGACAGCTCTAAAAACTGGTAGAAATAAAGGAAATTACATTTTGGAATGCCCCCTCTAAGGTGAAGATGCTTAACCGAAAGTATGCTGTTATTTCTGTGGATTTGTGCTTTGCAGTTTCTCTCAAAATTTTTGTTGCCATTAAGAGGACTCTATGAATTCCTGAAACTTTTCTCAGGACCTTTTTGGTAAATTTAGACCATAAAATAGAATACGTATTATGTGTTTTTAGAATAGAATATGTGAATGTGTGTTTATAAAGGCATAACTCTGATAAGGTGGTTTTATATTTTTACTTTCTTCTTTACTTTTGATAATCATTCTAGCTGCTCTTTTCTCCAGCCCACCCTCCTGTTCAAACCTGTTTCTTGCTTCACAGTTCTCTATAACATCCTTGAAAGGCAACTGCCTCAACTCTAACTTTAACAATGTTTCATGCATTGTGGTGTGTGTGTGTTTTTTTTAGTAGAGACAGGGTTTCACCATGTAAGCCAGGCTGGTCTTGAACTCCTGACCTCAGGTGATCCGCCCACCTCGGCCTCCCAAAGTAGGGAGGGGGCTGGGCACTGTGGCTCACGCCTGTAATCCCAGGCATGTAATCCTCATGCCTGGGATTACAGGCGTGAGCCACAGTGCCCGGCCTATGTGCATTGTTTTCTGATGCCCAAAGGAGGAGGAAAATGACAACCTTACGAATAATGTAGGAGCATGATGATTCTTACATTGGGCTTATACCTGGCAAGAAAGAAAAGAAAAACCTCAGGAGGTCCAAATAATTCCCAATATAAAAATCTGTTTACAAATATAATCTTGCTTTGGCAGAGGAGAAAGCCAGCTGTGGTTGGAATATGTACTGCAAACATGGCATTACCAATACTGTTTATAGCACCAACTGAGTAGGGTCTGTGGCATAGGATGGCAGCCCACAAACTGTGCCTGAAGTAGAAACAAGGTGTGAAAAGGATAAATCTTTTATCCTTCACACACTTAGAAGCCTGTGCTTTTCCATTTGCAATGGCCTGAAATGGTAGGATTGCTATGGTTAGCTAAGAAAGCCCTTGGTAGGACTGCCTATTTCTTTAACAAATTTGCGTTTGACTTTTTACAAGTGGAACATACTTTTAAAACACCCAGTTAATAAAAAAAAATGGTAGAAGACTGTCGAAGGTAATGTGGTATAAATTCATTGTTAATGAGGACAATAACGTTACTCTGCTGGAGGACAGAGTCCTGAAGGCTGGGTTTGGTGCCATCCTGTCACTATGTGAGTTTTTTCTTGATGATAGTGAGCTCTTTCTGAAGTTCACTGAACTTAGGGCGATTTTCAGGTTTATAATCCCAACACTTCATCATGATTTTAAAAATATCCTCTGGACAGTTCTGGGGAGCTGACATCCGGTATCCTGAAGACCCAAGAGAAGGAGAACAGAGAATTTAGAATGGAGATAAGATACAGATGTTCACACAGGGCATTATGCAGTTATTAACTTTTAGTACCTTATGCTGTAGTTATATGGAAATAAAACATCCGTTTCTGGGGAAGCTGATTTTTTATTTTCTACAGGTGATGCAGAATTCAATATTACAGAGTTGTAGACTTCTAATTCAAAGAACATTTTTTATTCATTTCTCAGAAAATCTGATGTAAGATACATACAAATGCATAGTTTAGTTGCTCTAAGTATTCACTTTCAGAATTAGATGCTGTGAGCAGTTTTAAAAAATCATCTCTACAACCTATGTTTTTCAAGATGAAGAGAAGATGAGGATTTTGTAAATGTGAATTCAATAGGGAAATAAAAATGAATATGAGTCATATTCTTTTACAGTCTGTTGGTTGGCAGTATTTCAGCAGTGCATTGGGTAGTGTGTGAGAGGTAAGAGAACGTAGGAAGGAAGTTAGAAAGGCATCTTCCTACACCCACTTCTACACCCACGCCCCTCACTGGGGCCCAGACATTAGGGCATTGTATTTTATCACGAGCTTCTTTTTGTCGAGACTGTACACTACACAAGCGCATGCAAGCATGTCACCATTGCTTAGTTATTCCCATCCGTGGTCTAGGAACCCCAAAGGGTTTCTTCAGAAGTGCTACAATGTTGTCACATTCTCAAAAACTTCCTGAAGACTAACTACATTTCAATTTGGAATATTATTTAAAAGGAGGTTTATCTGGCATAGAATACAAGAGTTTGAGAAACACCACCCTATTTCTCTTAACGACAGTGAACAGCACAATCCTGCCAGACAGGGAAAGGGTGGAAGAAAAGCCTATATACCTCTCTCTTGCATTGGAATCCTTTAAACGGTTTGGATATGTAAGTAAAGAGCAGAGATGTTAGATAAATCTGCTTCTGAACCCCAGAGATGGTCTCATAACACAGCCAAACAGTATTTAACACCCCCCTCTCCTCAAGCAGACACACTGTAAGCACCGCCTACCCCTGGGGCTGGACATGAACACTAACAATGAATGTATTTGGCTCACCTCTTTCTACTTGCTCTCTTGCTTGTTGATTTGTCATTCCAGGGTACGGACAAACCCCTAAGCTGAAGGTCTCCCAGAGAAGGATGCCAAAGCTCCACACGTCACTCTCTGAACTGTATCTCCCTGGAAGGAGAACAACCACCACAACCAAGTGAGGCACAGTAGACAAGTAAGCGACCCTTCCTGTTATGTATGTCTGTGTCAGTCACGCACCACATAATGTTTGGTCAATGATGGAGCACATATATGACAATGGTCCTATTATAATGGAGCTGAAAAATTCCTATTGCCTAGTGATGTGGTAGCCATGGTAATGTCATATAACACATTACCTTTTCTATGTCTAGATACACAAAAACTTACCATTGCATTAAAATGACCTGTAGTATTCAATACAGTAACATGCTATACAGGTTTGTAGCCTAGATATGTAGTAGGCTATATCATCTAGGTTTCTGTAAGTAAACCCTATGATCATGGAATGATGAAACTGCCTAATGACGCATTTCTCAGAGTGTATCCCTAAGCGATACGTGACTGTATTTAAACTTACCAAAGGAGGTTGATATGCAGTCTTCCTATTCTCTTTACTGGTTTTATATTCCAGGTCTAGTAATATTACCAATTAAATAAATATTCTTCAGGCTGCTAGTTTAATCAAACCAGCTTCCAAATCACTCTCCCTCCCCTCAAGAATTAATATTCAGCCAGTGTGCAAGCTTACTTTCCCTGTGGTATCTGAGTATCTGAATGAGATAGATGGTTTATACAAAAAAGATATACGCTTTTACGTATCAATCCTAGGAGATTAACCAAGTTGGATTCCTGCAATTTTGTCTTACGCCGCTTCGTTTTCTTTCCATTAAAATTACAAACAAACGTAAAGCAATGAGGCAAGTTTCTTCATTTCTCACTCATTGCTGTTTACAGAGGTTCTTATACGCTTAAAGGCCTCATTTTCTCCACTGATAGTTTCATTGACGAAAAATATTTTTGTGTGTTTTAAACAGTAGAAATTAACATAGCTGGCTAATAAAAACGTCTTTAAATTACATGGTGCCCTGTTTTGTTGAAATATCTGGGTGCGCCTGTTTTACTGAGCTACTTGAGCTAAGCTCTTAGAATGTTTTTGGTAGTCTCCTAGAGAAGCACAGGGATACAAACCAGCACAAGGTATCTTCTAATCAACGAGGGGAAGTGGATCAGTCTTTTCCAATCTCCAGCCTCTCCAAGAAGCGAGTTTCCAAGATGTTCCCAACATATTTGTATTTTTCACTTACTTTTACATATACTATCATAACTAAACTCCATTTACAGTGGTGTTAAAGATTTCTTAAATTATTTCATTTTCTATCCCTCAGGTAGTTTCCTGTCTTAACTCCGCCACCGCAGGATTTATAAATGCTCCTCCTCCAAAACTGTCAAGTTACTTTAAAATAGGATGGCCTTTCTTAAAAAAAAAAAAAAAAAAAAAAGGTACTTAGTGAAAACAAAAGTATGCCTGCCATAATAACGGCTCTGACATCAGAGTGGGGTTGTACTAACTGATTATCAGCTCCGGCTGTGTGAATTAGCTTCCTTCTTAGTAGACAGTCATTATGGACATTCTTGGGAGGAAGATTAATTTTCTTGTCTGCCTATCAACTCGTTTCATGCTTGGCATTCAGTAATTTAATACTTTTCATGAAAGTCATTCTATGGCTACAAGTTAAGACTAATTCTTTAAGAAAATGTCGGTTATACAGACTTGTATCTTATTTTGTAAGGTATCTGGGCAGAGATCAATAAAGACATATATTACATATAAACCAAGATCACACTTCAGATGTGAAAGCTTATAACCTAGCTCTTAAACCTGGATCTTTGAACCTGGTTTTGTTGGGTAATTTTAACAGACCAAGAGTAACTTACAATTGTATAGAATTTTGCTACTTTTCTATGTCTCATTTGATCTTCACAATACTCTATAGGGAAAAGGTCCTATCGTTCTTATCTTACAAATTAGGAAATTACGTAGAGTAGTAGATGGCTTGCCAGGGTCATGCAACTAATGGCATAACTGGTTGGGAAATCTGCTCACTAAAAATTCTGCCTCCCTCCCATTTCACAGTACTTAGTTACATCATGCTAATATAACTAATTAGAGGATATATCAGCTCCAAATACCCAGGTGACAAAAGGAAAATTTCTGTTCAATAATTGATGATAAATAGATGATTTCTTAGTTGGAGATCAGTATTCTATTTTCCCTTTATAAAAACAGTACCTTTGGTGACAGCTGTCAATAAGGATGGTAGCAATACATGCCAAACAGGCTTTGAGTATTCTACCATTTTGTATTTTTTTAAAAAAAAGTATATGAGAGAGACATATACAAAAAGATTTCTCAGCCATTTATGAGAAAAGTATGAGACTGTATCAAGAGTATTTTCATCTAGGAAGGACAATGATCTGGCTAGCAATAAGGCTGGGAAGGCCCTTTAGTATTGCTTTTTTTTTTAAAGCCAAATATACAAAAACAACACTTATGATAAAGCAGTGACAACAGGTTTAATTCTATGTCCCACTCCCCACTTTTCTTGAGACAGGGTCTCACTCTGTTGCCCAGGCTGGAGTATAGTGGCATGATCATGGCTCTATGGCCCTAAGTTTCAGAGAGGTTCCTTGGACTGGAGGTTTCTTTCATCTACCCCAACCCCATACTACATGGGAGACTTGAGTGTTTCACCCATTCTGAGACAAGAGTGAAGAAAGAGTATATACTACTTTCACATATGAAAGAAGTATTGGATCGGGCACGGTGGCTCACGCCTGTAATCCCAGCACCTTGGGAGGCTGAGGCGGGTGGATCACCTGAGGTCAGGAGTTTGAGACCAGCCTGACCAATACAGTGAAACCCTGTCTCTACTAAAAGTACAAAAATTAGCTGGGTGTGGTGGCGGGCACCTGTAGTCCCAGCTACTGGGGAGGCTGAGACAGGAGAATTGCTTGAACCCAGAAGGCAGAGGTTGCAGTGAGCTTAGATCGCACTGCTGCACTCTAGCCTGGGAGACAGCAAAACCCCATCTCAGGAAAAAAAAAAAAAAAACACACCAGGATTTAGAGTCAATCTTCAGTAATTTTAGTCTGTGGAAACTAAACTTCTCTGGGTTGCTAGGAGAAGGCCTGTAGAGTCTTTCAGGAGCTCTCTCATTGGACTGGGTAATAAATACTATAAACGTCTCCTATATCAAAATCTCTCCTTCCTTGTCATCTAAATTGTTCTATGTTTCATAAAATTTACTAAAGGCTACTAAAAAAAGTCCCTCACTATAGATCAAGGATCTTCAGAGACTGGGCGCAGTGGCTCATGCCTGCAGTCCCAGCTACTCCAGAGGCCGAAGTGGGAGGATCGCTTGAGCCCTGGAGGTTGAGGCTGCAGTGAGCCATGATTACGCCGTCGCACTCCAGCCTGGGTGACAAAGTAAGACCCTGTCTCAATTTTAAAAACTCCTTAGACTTGTCCTTATTACTTAAAATGCTTTAGGTCTGGCTGTTAGATATATCCAGAATTGAAACTTTTAATTTGTAAATACAACACTTTAGTCAGCTTGAAATTCAAAAAATACACTGTGATCAAGAGGCAGAATTTTACTTGGCAAAACTGTTTAAGAGTAAGAGGACTTTTAAAGGCTATATAACACAGAAAATCTGGCAAACAGAGTTAAGAGCAAATTCTAGAGTTCGATTTTACTGGTAAGACTTTAAGGACTCCGAAACCCAGTTACAGCTCCCTTAGTGCTTGAAAATGTTTTGTCATCTAACAAAAACCTTTGTGTAAATATGAGTATTATAATCTTTTATCCTGTGATCATTCCCCTTAGTAATATAATCTGACCCTAGAGTTAATAATAAAAATCACCGCAGAGAGGAATCACTATGGAAAACAGCAGGTCTGCCATTTTCTCTAGATTCTAAGGAATAGTGGAACTGGCTTGCAGTCACTAGAAAGCTCGTAAGAACCTCTCTTGCTGACATACTGAAAGACAAACTAAGAGTGAGGGTTAGTATCTGTGGTAGCTGGGTCAGCCCCAATCAACTTCCAAACCAATTCCATTCAAAACTTTATCTGGAAAACATTTGGTGGTTCCTCAAAAAGTTAAACGTAAAATTATCATGACTTCTAGTAAATACACAGAATAACTGAAAACTGCCCAAATATACAAAAATGGATAAATAAATGGTTGTATATCCATACAGTGAATTATTCAGTCCTAAAAAGGAACGAAGTACTGATACATGATATGACATGGATGAACCTCAAAAATCTTATGCTAAGTAAAACAAGCCAAGACACAAGATATCACATATTATATAATTCCATTTGTATGAAATTCCCAGAAGAGCTAAATCTACAGAAATAAAAGGCAGATTGGTGGCTACTAGGGGGCGAGAGGATGGAAGAATGGGGGGAGAATGCTTACTGGGGACAGGGTTTTATTTTGGAATGATGAAAATGTTTTGAAACTAGAGGTACTGGTTATACAACATTGTCGGTTGTACTAAATGCCAATGATTGTTCACTTTAAAGTAATTAACTTTACGGTATGTGAATTTCACCTCAATTTTTTAAAAAAAGCTTTCTCTAAATTAGGAATTAAATTAAGGCATTTATAAATGCTTTACAAATTAGTTCCCATAATGAGGTAATATTTCATTTTAAATCAACAAAGAATCATTTTACGTTTTTATTCAAGACATACCATACCCACTCACCAAGCCATGGCTTATATGCTGCTTCCCTCAATGAAAATGTAATTTCTAATTTCACTTAAAGCACACTCTTTTTTTTTTTTTCTCTTAAATTCTTGAGTTGTCATTCATCTTGTTATGGCCCATTTCATCCCAACCACAGATAATGCAAGTTATATTTATTTCCAATTACAATGACACCTAAAAATTCAAGTGAAAAAAATCCCTGCTGTTTTAAAATATAATTCCCATCTCCTTCTTTGCTCAAGATTTATATCAGTTCCACAGACTGAGATGCTAAGAAACCACGTCAATTTCAGAGTGAGAAACTACAGAACTGATTGACTTAATATTTTAGGAACCTAACATTAGATGAGGTTATTGGACCAATTATAAGACATTTGAAAGAAATGATCCAGAGCCACAGCAACACTTACTCTGTGTATAATCTATTACAAAGTCATTTTTTGGTATTAAAAACCTTCTCAGATGTACAGTCATATTTAAAAGTACTTATATCTACCTTTTTAATATAGCAATGTTACATATAGAAATCTAATCAATAATTTCAACAAATTAAAAGGTATGAAATTCACTCATTTGTGTTGATCTTTAAATCATTCTAACTTGCATTCTGTGCTACCCCTGTAAATTTTGTTTGTGACTGTTTTGTGCTGATGCCATTCATTTTTACCACCAAGAAAAAAAAAGTGGTCTATTCTTACCATAATTAAGAGCTTCTGGTGCTGTCCATTTAATGGGAATCTGCTTTAAGCCAGAAGATGAATACACTCCACCATCCTCTTGACGAGACATTCCAAAGTCACTGATTTTCAGAACATTATTTTCACCCACCAGGCAGTTTCTTGCAGCAAGGTCCCTAGGTTACAATGAGACATAGAAAACGCCTATTAAAATAAATTGAAAGCCACTTTCACATTCATGATTTCCACACTTTGCATTTTTACATTTGCAATGTATTTATAATGAGGTTAAGAATGCTTGTGATTTACCAGTCCTCCTCATCTTTTCTGTCCTAGGTAAAAAACATCCATGAGAACATATGCATATGGAATAGGCCACATGCTAGTTTTCTAGGTACCACATATATTTCCATTTAAATAGAAAAACACTGATTCTAGCTTTAAAAGAGAAAATTACAGAGGAGAGGCTAAGCAAACTTGGCATTACTTCTCCTTTGGCTTTCCTAGAGCAGCACTGTCCAATAAAGGAGCCATCTGCCACATGTGCTACTGGACACCTGCAATGTGGTTAGTGTGACCAAGAAACGGAATTTTTCATTTTATATACTTTTAGTTAATTACATTTAAATAGCTGCATGTGCCTAGCAGATACTGAGTAGATTCTGGTAGACAATTCTTAGGGCTTCCCAAAGCTTGGAAAGTGGCTGAGGTACCAGAGAGGTTGGCAACTCTTTTTCTGCTGCATCTGGCCCTGTCTCTCTCTCATCCACCTCATCTTGTCCAGTCTCCCTATCACTTACTATATCCCAGCCATACTGGGCTTCTTTTTGTCCCCAAATGCAGGACAAGCCCCCTAAATGAGGCAAGCTTGTTGCACTGTATACCTTTTGCACTCTAGTGTTCCCCTTTGCTTCCAGTGTTCTTCCAGTTTTGCATAGCTGGCTACTCTTCATTCATTCTTAGCCCAAACATTCTCTCTTCAGAGAGTTCTTTCCTGACCACTCTAATCTTCCAAAGTCTTTCTTTGGGGAGGACATTCAATAACCAAATTCATATACAGCCATCCCTTGGGATCCATGATTGGTTCCAGGACCCCCCTCAGATACCAAAATCCAAGGATGCTCAAATCCCTGATATAAAATGGTGTAGATTTGCCATATGCACATGCTCCTGTATACTTTAAATCTCCTGTATACTTTAGATCATCTCTAGATTACTTATAATACATTGTAAATGCTATGTAATAGTTGTTGGAAGTCTATATATGTTTAGTACAGACACAACCATCTATTTTAAAAAAAAACTCTCTCTGGATGGTTGAATCCACAGATGTGGAACTTACGGTTACAGTCATATATAAAAAGAATTACATATAACCAAGTGGAGCTTGTCCTAGTAACACAAGGTTGGTTTAACATTTTAAAAGTAATCAGTGTTATTCACTAGAGTAACAGAATATAGGAGGGAAAAACTTGATAATTCCAACTGATGCAGAAAAAGCAATGGACAAAAATTCAAACCCACTGATAAAACTCAACAATCTAGAAATACTAAGGAATTTATTTAACCTGACAAAGGGCATACACAAACAGTTAAATCCCTAACATTACACACTTAAATGGTGAAAGGCTAAATTGTTTTCTATTGAGGTCAAAGCAAGGATACCTGTTTTTACCAGTTCTAGTCAAAGGGATCTCTTGGAAATAATTTTACTTCTTTTCTGATATCTGCCTCTCAGTTTTTCGTGTGTTCCCTTATGTCGTTTTCAATTTGAAAATGTGATGTTTTTTACATAGAAAATCTTTGGGAATGTTTATAACAAGAACTAGAATTAATGAATTTTACAAGGTTGCAAAAATACACAAAGTATTCTTGTAAGCAGCAAACAATTGGAAAATAAATTTCATTTACAGTAGTACCAATAAGGCAAATACCTAAAAATAAATCTAATAAAAGACAAGTCCTTTATACTTCAAACTACAAAACTTCACTGAAAAAAATCATAAATATGTGAATATTAATATGGCAATTCTTCCCAAATTAATGTATAGATTTAATGCACTCACAACCAAAAATTCTGGCTGATGTGCTGTAGAACTAGATAAATGGAGTCTAAAATGTATATGGAAATGAAGGGTTCTACAATAAAGTAATTTTAAGAAAGGTGTACAAAGTTGTAGGACTTACCTAACCTGATTTCAAATTCCACTAGAAAGCTATAGTTCTCAATATAGTTTAGCATTGGTAGAAATGTTTATAGCTCAATTGAATAGAACAGAGAGGATCTACAAACACACCCACATATGTATAATCAACTAATTTTTTTGGCAGAGGTACAATGGCAAGGTAGTATGCACCTCCCTAACTCTAGTCAGTGGGCCAAATGCCATCACCCTTGGTCAGAATGAGTTTTTAGTCACTGCAATGCTTTAGTCATGTACAGGATTTCATTGTTAGTACTTTCTTTAGAGTAATATCTATGTTTTATAGCTACATACACTTCTGTTGTCATAACTATCTTCATTGCACCACCAGTTTAGAGATTTGTTCTCTGAAATGAGGATTACAGTTCTATGAGAGGCCAATCTAAAACTAATTTAGAGATATCTCAATTCAGTGTAAATAAAATTTCAATACCATTTACAGAAAATGCTTTTTCCTTTGGGCTGCATTTAGTTCAAGTGAGTGGAAATGGGATCTTTTTGAGATAATCTATGCATTAAATAAAACCTTAGGCCTTTACACCATAAGCATGCACTGTATACTCAGTTTGCCAAATATTCTAATAAGTATTAAAGGAGACAGAATAAAGGATATGGTGTCTAGGCTAAGAAGCCAACAATCTAATTTGGGAGATAAGGCAATCACACACCTTTCTTCCTCCTTTTCTCTCTATTCTCTTCTTTATTAAGCCTACTATTGTCCAGTACTGAGTCACACTTTGGGAGACACACTAGTACTCCCAGCCTCTTCACACATAAAACTGCTAGAGAACAATCAGTGTGAACCTGTGTGTTACAGACTGCAAATCCTACAGGAATTCAGAGGTGAGAAATCTCATAATAGGCTGGTGTTGTCATTCACCCGAGGTATCATCAGAGATAGCCATATCTCACCACAGGCAGAGGGATATAACAGCAAATGCTGCTCACTGCTAAAAGGAGATGGAAATGTTCCACTTATGTGTGCCTAGTAATCTTATTTGAAGATTCAAACTTCTGAGTGTGTACCAGAGGTGTCCTCCAAGTCATACATAATATGAGACAGGCTAATTAAGGATTAAATAAGAACAGAGAGCAGTTACAGGAACGCCAAGGCCAGCAGGCAATGGAGATGAGTAAATTTTCTTCACTGTCTAGAAAGCACAATGGTGCACATCTTGTTCTGTGGCTACGTTCACTCTTAGAGCATGTCCTACAGTAAGCCAGGAATCATCATGAGGCTGAGCCAGTGTTCTCCTTTGCAATGCTATTTTGCCCCAAGCATTGTTTACTCGCTACTATGATTCTACAAAGTCGGGATTTATTCCTCATGTAAAAAACGAGTTAGAGAAATATTTGCTTTTTTTTTTTTTTTTTTAAATAAAAACTATTCCCACTGGGTCTGGATAATACTGAGCCACAAATAACTACTAGCACTTATGAGGAGAAAACCTCTTTAAGGCCCTGGAGTTTCCTGATTCTGGCTGAAACATGGCATAAAACCAACAACCCAGGGAGTGAGGAATAAATGAAGCATACTTCATTTGCTCTACTATATTCTGACAAAAAGGGAAGAATTATCTTATTATACAAAATGTATTTAGATAGTTAGCTGCAAGCATATTTGGGGCACACTGTAGTAGTTAAATGCACCAACTTTTAAAAATATATGAATTACATTATTTTCTAATTTTTATATAACTTATACACAGATACATGTTCTTTAAAAATTTAAACACAAAAAATGTGACCAAACGTTTCCCATCAGACTTTGCCAATTCCATTTGACTTATTGTTATAGATTTAGATACATTCTTATTATATAAACTTTGTACCACATGTATATATTTGTTTACAAACCTGACTAATTGTACAGTTCTTGTTCTGACATTTATTCTAATATCATTTGATGTCCTTCAGAAAATGTTAATAATTTCCTCCATGCAGGCCAAGTGTACTGCTTGGCAGATTTATTTACTGTTTTTTTGTTGTTGACAATTGCGAGTATATGGTTCTGTCACTTCTTTCCCCTATTATTCTTGGTTGACATATAATAATTGTACATATTTATGGGACAGTGATATTTTGATATGTGTAAAAAATATGTAATGATCAAATCAGGGTAATTAGCATATCTATAATCTCAAACATTTATCATTTGTGTCACGAACAGTAAAATCTTCCCTTCTGGCTTCTTGAGAATATAGAATAAATTAACCTTATTCATTCTACACTGCTGCAGAACACCAGAACTCTTTCTATCTAGCTATAATTTTGGTATCTACTAACCCAATCTCTTTCCATCCTCCCCACCTCTCTACCCTTCCCAGTTCCTGTACCTTACAATTCTACTCTCTTCCTCCACAAGTTTGATTTTTTTTTTAGCTCCCACATGAGTGAGAACATGCAGTATTTATCTTTCTAAGCCTGACTTATTTTGCTTAACATGATGTACTCCAGGCTTATCCATGTTGCTGCAAATGACAGGATTTCATTCTTTTTAAACAGGTAAACAGTATTCCATCGTGTATGTATACACACCACATTTTCTTTGTTGATGGACATTTAGGTTGATTCCTTATCTTCGCTATTGTGAAGAATGCTTTAATAAATATACATATCCCTTTGATATACTGAGTTTCTTTCCTTTGGACAAATCTGCTGGATCATATGTTCTACTCTTAGTTTTTTTTTTTAAGAAACTTCCCCACTGTTTTCCATAATATGTATATTAATTGACATTCCCAGCAACAGTGTATAAGAGCTTCTTCCTTTTCTCTGCATCCTTGCCAGCATTTGATATTTGTCTTTTGTCTTTTTTTTTTTGAGATGGAATCTTGCTCTGTCGCCCGGGCTGGAGTGCAGTGGCACGATGTCGGCTCACTGCAGCCTCCATCTCCCACATTCATGTGATTCTCCTGCCTTGGCCTCCCGAAGTGCTGGAATTGCAGGCATGAGATGCTGCATCTGGTGTT